TTTCTGCTTCCGAAAAGGGTTTATGTTGGAAGGATTTTGCTGTCTGACTTAAAAGAAAAAAATAAACTACAAATCCCTATCTTAAAATAACAGATGTCAGTGAGGATTCCCTGATTTTCCTGCAGACATTTCCCATCTTTGTTGTTTCTGGCCTACTTTGCATTCCAATTCTACGGAGGTTTCCTTGGAAGCAAGTCCCATTGAGTTCAGTAAGACTTACTCTCAGGAAGGTAGGCCTAGGATTGCAGCCTTAGAAATGTTTCAACCAATACAAATGGCACACTAAAGGAAGGCTGTAAGTTTAATGAGAGAATTGATCAACTAGCACACTTGCAAGGGCTAAGCCCCATTGAACTCAATGGGATTCAGTTCTAAGTATGGTAAATACGCGTAGGACCATACTGTACAGCTTTGATCTCAGATTAAAATTTGCCCCTCCATTAGCTGCTGGGTCTGAAGCTGAAGGGTACAAACTTCACACAGACTGCACATGCATAGCTATTCCCCTCTTCTCTGTACTAAATTTGATATGGAAAAACCCAACAACTTACATCCAGCTTTTCCTCCCAGTTTATATCCATATCTATAAGATATTTTGCACTTGATGACAATGTTATCTTTTAGCAATAAAAATCACAGGCAACTGAAGCGCTCAGTTGGAATCAGTGGACACGATCCAACCACAGGCAGGTATTGTAAAATCTTGATTTCAATGAAAGAATTATATGCACATGCTCAAAACTCTGCCCCTTCAATCAGTGGGGCTTTAAAATTGCTTAACTTCAGCTGGGTTGTCCCCACTGTCTTACTGGGTTTTACTGGTATGTTTACAATCAGCCTGAAGCACACAGGTTTATCACAGAAGCAGCTTCCCACGTGATTTGCCTTCCCGGTCACAATCACGCTGTAAAGGTTGTAGTAGAAACTGGCCTTACTTTGGCTTGGGCTCCATAGCAATGAATGATGGAATTGGTGAATTTGAGTGTCCAATGAAGAAAGAACTCAATAGAGGGTGGAGCATGAGCTGACAGAGCCTATGGGGAAAACTCTCATACATCCTGCATCTGTGAAAAGCTTGGGCTCACAGTCAATTAACTTGCTGCGCTAGTGGAAGCCAGTGCAGGGATTACCCCTAGTGCAATGGGACTTCCCCTCTTGCTTCCCCCTGTGCCCTCCCCAAATTTGCTCCACAGGGTCAGGGAAACAGCCAGAACAGAATGTGGGGAGAAGGAGAGGGGAGGCTGCTCTGTCGGACAAGCAGAAATGCTTCCGCTGATGAAAGGATCCCCTTAGCAATATGGTGAATACAACCCTTGGTGGGATTACAATCTTAGAACTGGAAGTTAGCAGATGATAATGGAACCTAACCCTCTGTTTTAAAACGTGTTTCTCCATGCACTTTGCCACACCCCACCACATCTTGCAGATTAATCCTTGAGGTCTAGAATTGACTCTATGCTGCAATGAGGTAGAACCAGCAAAGTGCCTGTACAGTTTAAGGCATGGTTTAGCAAATCACCTCTGACGACTCAAGCAGAGGTGCTGCAGTGGTCCGAAAGCTATTGGACATCAATGGTAATCGCTAGGAAAACCGGCTGAGGGTGCCAGTTTTCCTAGTGGTTAATTTCAGGATGATTCATTTGGAACATGACAGTACACAGGGCCATGTAATCTTGCACCCCACTTTTTATGTACTCAAATCAAGCAGTTCCCTAAACTGCACAGTTGCAGATATCTGAGTATGATGAACACTGGAATCATTCCTTGAAATCCAAAGAGTAGATAAACAAGAACGCTGTTGAGTTCAGATTATAGCTAAATGGTTCAGGGGAGGGTGAGCCAGTGGATTTTAACAACCAGATGTTTTGAATAACAAACGTTTTGCTGCTATTCCTAATTTCCCAAGCTGATTTTGCCATGCAGCTATTTTACAGTTCTTTGATTCTGACCTGTCGCAGCCAATACGTTTAAACTTTGCAAAAATCAGGTCTGAGGCTGCAGGACTCCGAATGGTAACTGAAAGACAGTCATGCAGCATTTTGCTCTTGACAATTTCAATGTTATGATTTTCTTTAGCATTCCTTCCAACATAATGGAGCATTGTATCGCTTCTCTGTACCTGAGGTTATCAAGAGTTGCTGAAAAGAAAGAAAGAAGGAACATGTTTCAAAAACAAAGTTCTTTCCTTCCTTCCTTTCTAGAACAACAGCTTGATAAAGACAATGCATGCTATGAGTCTGAAAGTGTCAGGACTTGGCAAGGTCCAAGTTCCAGTATACGGGATCCTGGGACCTGCAGGAGCTGCCTGTCACTCCAAAGCAAGTGAAGCCCAAATAAAAAAGGTGTCTATTTCCACAGCAGAAAACAGGAGAGGGCGCAAGGGCAGGGTTGTAAGGGCCTGAAGGAAGAGAGAAATTTTGGAGGCTGGGGTGGGAGAAAGCTCCCTCCTTCCAACCCACCCCCCTCAGAAATTTTAACAGCACTTAGAAAGTGTCCTCATGCTAGAGACGGGTTACTCAAAACATAGATGCCAGCTCTAAAGCTAGGGCTTGGTGGACAGGGATTGGCCCTTGGAATCAGCTGGTGCTGCAGCTTAGAGAGTACCTTTGAAGCACAGTGCTCACTCTGCCAGGTTCGCAGCGAAAACTGTGCATTGGTGGCGCAGGTGGTAAGGTGCCCAAGCCTGGCTGTTGAATTTCATTAGACTTTGTTGTTGTTGTTTAGTTGTGTCCGACTCTTACTGACAGCTTATTGAGAACCTTGCCCTGATGCCTTATTGGCTAAGGGTGCAATGCAAACCCCCTTTGTCGCGAGCTGTGTACTTGTGCGTGAACTGGATGGAGGTGCTCCTTTGTCCAGCCCTGCCAGCTTTCACCTGTGGAGGGACACCAGAGAGCCACCTGTTTTACCTGCCAAAGATGTGGGAGGGTGCAGGTGCCGCCAGCAGGATCCCTACACGCTCCAGTGTCAACCAAGGCTCCCAAAGGGGGCATTCCAGAACAGGGAGGTGCTGAGCCAGAGCCAGCTGCAATCACCTAGGAATGCCAGTCTATCTTGATTAGAAGCAGGCATGGGGAATTGGAGGCAATTCAGGCTTTACTGGGGTAACATGGCACAGTTACCTCTTGTGCTGGTACTGCTTGTTTCCTAACTCCCCCCCCCCCCCCGCCCCCATCTGCATTCTCATGACGGAGTTCTGCATCAGGCATTTGCATGAACATTTGAATTGGCTCTCGGACACAAAGAGATGTGCCTAACTTTGAAGAAACGAAGAATCCCCACTGACTGTGTGTATGTGCTTATTTGGATTTGACTACAGCCACCATTAACCCCGAATATTCATGTCAGCACCACGAGAAACTATGGCGGAAACAGCAGCACTCAGAAGGAAGGGCAGCAAAGGGGGCTGTGTTCTCCCGACAAATTTATTTTCCTTCCAGCATTGGTGAGATACTTCTGCAGGCAGGAGGACATCAGCAGGGTACGTTTCATCAGGCTCCGCTCATTCCTAAAAGACCTGCCTTTTACTTTTCAGCTCTGTTTATCTTTTCCTCAGGAAGTTCAGTGGAAAATATGCATCCCGCAATGACGGCCTGTCAGTCACTCTCGACCTTTTGCAAGAACAGTGTAAAGCTGGCATGTGAAGGTGTCACTGTGGGGAAGGAATTCTTTAAAAGTTCATCATGAGTGGATAATTCCACTACAAAATGGGAGCTGGCAGGCAGCTGTAACCTGGAATCCAAAATCAACCTTATGCTAAAGACAAAAGGAAAAGAAAAGAAAAGAAGAAAGAACACCTTCTCTTCATATACAGCAAACAATCTTTTCCCCCTGAAGCAGCAGGTATTTAATGGAGGAGAGGCAACAGGAGAATGGTTTTTTTCTGCCAAATTGCTGATACTACATCAGGCCAGGTATAAACTCATACCCCACACTGTTCTCTCCCCACTCCTCCTGCCTCCTTGATTTCCTTTCTCAATTACTCTGGCGAGGCACTTCAAAGAACCTCTTCAGACATCCTCCACCCCTCCAACCCAGCCAAAGATCATCACGGGAATCGAGTGTATAAAATGATGAACTATTCTTTTATTACAGGAACTAAACAGCAATAATATTAGCTTTTTGCATAATGTGCAGGACTCTCCCAACATCCTGGTTCCTGCTGAGTCAGTCAGTGGGGACGGTGCTGGGCCAGCCGACAGAGCCTGGAGCAGCCAGACCAGTCTGCATGGCAGGATGCGGAAATGGAGCCAAGCTCCTTTGTTGCTCAGCCTTTGGAGGAAGCAAAGGTTACCTGGAAGGCTATGCTGGGGTTAAGAAGGGAGCAGGGGTGGCGGGTGAGGCACCATCATATGAACTAGCTCTGGACTCTTGGAAATGCTACTGGCATTCGACATAGAATCATAGAATCATAGAGTTGGAAGAGACCACAAGGGCCATCGAGTCCAACCCCCTGCCAAGCAGGAAACACCATCAGAGCACTCCTGACATATGGTTGTCAAGCCTCTGCTTAAAGACCTCCAAAGAAGGAGACTCCACCACACTCCTTGGCAGCCAATTCCACTGTCGAACAGCTCTTACTGTCAGGAAGTTCTTCCTAATGTTTAGGTGGAATCTTCTTTCTTGTAGTTTGGATCCATTGCTCCATGTCCGCTTCTCTGGAGCAGCAGAAAACAACCTTTCTCCCTCCTCTATGTGACATCCTTTTATATATTTGAACATGGCTATCATATCACCCCTTAACCTCCTCTTCTCCAGGCTAAACATGCCCAGCTCCCTTAGCCGTTCCTCATAAGGCATCGTTTCCAGGCCTTTGACCATTTTGGTTGCCCTCCTCTGGACACGTTCCAGTTTGTCAGTGTCCTTCTTGAACTGTGGTGCCCAGAACTGGACACAGTACTCCAGGTGAGGTCTGACCAGAGCAGAATACAGTGGCACTATTACTTCCCTTGATAAAAGGCAAGAGCAGGCATATCGTGTGCATGTGAACACAATGAGAAGGGCTCTAGCTCAGTGGTAGAGCATCTGTCTTGTAAGCAGAAAGTTGCAACTTCAATCCCTGACATCTCCAGGTAAGGCTGTCCGAAATGTTGAAGAGGTACTACCTACCAGTCAGTGTAGGCAGTACTGAACTAGGTAGGGCAATGATCTGATCCGCCACAAGGCAGCTTCCTGTCTTCCTAAATTAACAGGGGGAGAACTGAAGCCAAGAACTGTTCACAACATATCCTGATCATGGAAACACCACCATGAATACCTTGTGCCCTGTTGGGAGATGGTGTGTGTTTTGTGGAAAGCCAAGAGCAAGGAGGGGGAGGCGGCGTGGGGTGCGCCAAGGGAGCTGTGTCACCCGCAGGTAATCTGTGCGCCTTTAATCTTCCTCGCGGGCTCACGGCTCCATCCACCTGCACGGCGTCTCAGCTCGCCAATTGGTATAATGGGACCACATATATTTAGAGAGCACGAGCAACACACTGAGAGGGAGCCTCAGCTAAAAATATCCATGTGCACAGAGAGATGCAGAGGTGACGCCGAAGCTGGAGAGTCAGATAAAAGGGAAGCTTTCTGTGCGCTGGAAAATTAACATTCCAGGGCCACGTCACTTTGTGTGCGGCTTCCTATGAGCTTTCCCCTCCCATCGCCACCCCCCTCCCTGGCTTGCTGCCTCCCTCCCACCCACTGCTGAACAATCCGTCAGGTTTGGAAATCAGGCTGGATGGCACAAGGCACCATCCTGTAATTTCCTTTTAATAATAGATCACAGGAGGATGGGCTCGGCAGCCTTCGCCTGCTCTTCTGCCTCCTCATTAGCTTTACTACACTTGCTCCATTTAGAAACCAAGCGCAAATTAATGGGGCACTAATCATCTGCAGAAGAGATATTAATAGTGTGGACCCCCCTCCTCACCCACAGACACCTTTTCTCAGCTTTCATCAGGCTGTTCCAGAAAAGGGGGGGAAACGAGCCCCCTCTGTGTGGAGGAATTAACAGGTGAGTGCTGGCAGGATACGGAACATCCTGGGCCTGTGTTGCATCTGCCGTAAGGGGCAAAGCACCAGGTAGGCAGGGGCAGGCAAAGGAGATTATTGGTGTGCATGTGATTGTCTGCAAGAATTATTGATGTAGTGTAGCTTCTTCACTTTGAGATAGTTGCTTATATTAGTTTTGTACGTTCTGTGGCAGACCACATGTTTCCTGTGCAGAAGAACACAGTCCCACATTCAATTTTCAGTATCTCTAGTTAGAGACTCTAAGCGCTGAGGCTGAAAAAGAGCATCAGCTGAAATTCTGGAGAGTGGCTGTTAGTCAGGGGAGATACTATTCAGCCACTGATAGGATGGAGGGCCAAACTTGAAGCCTTCAGTGTGTGGCTGCCTTTTACATATCTTTCATTTTAAGAAGAAAAATGTGAAAAAGAAAGAAACAACTACAGGAGCCCCCAATTAGAACTGAAAGGCATGAGGGTGTTAACTCTTGCAATTTTTCTCCATCCCACCCCTCTCGCTATTATCAACGCTGGATTTAGGGTGGTTCCCCCGCACAGGGTGCCATGCGAAGGGGGTGCAAAATAACAAATAACAACAACAACAAACCTATTTATTATATAGGGAGTGGCCCACAAATCACAGTTTGGGATGAATTGCTTTATCAGCAAAACTGTGCTGAGGTGGGAGAAGGATTAGTTCCCCTTCACTGTACCAGAGTCCTGATCTAGGCTAAGGCTTCCACAGGTGCTATTTTTTTTTATTTTAAAAAAGTTGAAAGATGTGCAATTGTGACCACACATTTACTTTGTGGTCCTACACATTTCTACTCTGCCTGAATTAAATTTTGTGTAATTCAATGGAGCTTACTCTCAGGTAAGTGGATATAAGAGTGCAGCCCTAATGTATTATCTAATTTGGCCTTCAGCATAAGGTGGCTTCATATGTTCCTGGCTGCACTTTGCATAGGAAGCCAAAGGAAGAAGCCGCAAATCCCAACTGTAGCCCAAAACAACTGCTCTTGCAGGTAGCAGGCCATATATTAGTAATTTAGATCTGAACTGTTCAGACATGCATCCCTAGATGTTGCTGGGCTACAAATCCCATTATCCCCAGCCAGTTTATCCAATGGTCACAAATGATGGGAGATGTGGTCCAACAATATTTGGGGACCCAAGGATGAAGAAGGCCACCTTAGAATAACAAGAGATCACCCTTTACCTTTCCTTGGACAAATGAAGGCCAGATTTCTATGTGTTCTTCCTTCACAGAATCATGAAGAAAACAAACTGATGTTGTGGTGGGGCTTGGCTAGTGAGTCACTGCTACTTATTGGGAGGGGTACAGTGGTGGTGAGCTGCAAAAACACCAGTGGAGTTCAATTTGAAACTCTTCCCAGTGCATTTGCATGGTATCGCCCTTCCTTGTCCCTCCCTCTCCAAGTAAGCAGCAGCGACTCACCTGCCAAGAGGTCAGGTAAGGGCCTCCATCCCACCACACTGTCTGCTGCTGACTAGAAATGTTTTGTCAGAAGACCTGTAAACAGAAAACTACATTCTTCCCTCCTACCTATGGATCATTCCAGCACAATCCACATGTGCTACATGGATTCCTTCACTGTTCTTCTTCTCATGAAGAATAATGGCCATAGAATACACTTATTTCCTCTAGAAATGTGTTTTTTCTCTGCAGTGGGCTCCCAGAACCAACATATTGCCAATGACAGTATTATAGTTGGGGAAAGACACACACACAATTTGGAAGTTGTGACCCAGAGTAAATTTCCCACAGTGACACAGAGAATCCCACGGTGAAGTGTACCTGAAAAAGCTCGGAGTCATCTGTACTGTACTGGCTGGACTCTGTTTCAGAGTGCTCGCAACACCACTGCAGCTCATTGAAGCAACTGGCTGAGTCAAAGTCACCGGCATCCAACTGGGACAAATCTATCTCTGGGAAATCAGAGTAGAGGTGTTCCTCACCAGACACTTCATACTGTGGATGTAAAAGAGAAAAGGATGGTGAGCTTGGCTGGCTTGCCAATCCTCGGGAAAACCAAATGAGGTCAAATATAATCACACAGGCCTTCACAAGGTGTAGATCAGATCACTGGCGTCTTTAAGGGGTGTCCAAATGGTACACAATAAAAAGCCACACTAACATGGAGCTAAGAAACCAAAGTCCAAACCTTCCTAAAACAAAGAGGATTTAAAACCACTTGAAGGCAGGCTGCCACCTGTAGAAAGCCTTCAAACTCCAAAAAGGCAACAGTTCCACATTTGTTTATTTACCGAGGTATTTTTAGCCTGTTCTTCAAAAGAATTCCTTTTACAACAAAACAAAATTTTATAAAATAACCACATTGAAACTAAAAAAAGCAAATTAAAGATGGCAGATATAGTTCTAAATGACTCCCAGTGGCTCTTTTTCTGACCTGACCTGGTATTACTGATGAAAGAGGATACAGAAATGTTTTAAATAAATACATAAAATGACTGGGAAAATACAACTGAGCAGTGTGTAGTAAGAGTTGTGCCTCTAAAGCAAGCATGTACTGAAGGACATGAATGCTGTAAAATGAGGCATTTCCTGCCCCTCCTCCAATGTATTAAAACTAAAAATCCTGAGATTATTTTTCTTTTCCGCATTATTACCTGCTGGTGAATTATAATTATGTCTTACTGGCTTGTCTGCAAGATCAGAATTTAGGTCTATTCTTCTCATTCCCCTTCTTAAATTAGAAGTGACAACTTGTACCTGATTGTGATTATTATTATTTTTGCCGACTTTGAATATGTGCATCAATGCCATTCAAAAGAAACTGAAGGATAAAGCAAAACAGAGCACTTTCTCCAAGCTCAACATCTAGTATTTCCATTTGGGAATGATGCTGCAACCTTGGCCAGCTTTCGCAAGAAATGCTTGGGTTTTGTATTTCTAGTATCAACATGATAATATCCTATTATGCAGATTCTAAGATTAACATTTCTGTGCTCTTGGAAATAGCACTCCCACTACCTTCTAGTGTGCGAGAGGCCAAGCCCCCTGGAGGACAGCCCAGATGCTTTGTTTCCCCATGGCAAAAAAGGAGGAGGAGGTTACTGGTGGGTGACTGACAATATGCATCTTTCAAGTCTGTCTCTGTTCAAAGGAACAGGAAAACACCCACCCACCTACCAGCAGATCACTCAGATTAAATGGCTGCATTTCGAGGGACAATCTTTCAAAATGAATAATGCCTGTTTCCTGTATAATTACAAAGATGTGCTTGTGGTGGTTTGTTTTGTTTTGTTTTTCAAGTTCAGAGGAAACAGACGTTTTCAACTTTTCTTGGGACAGTTCCCTTGCTCATGGATCATCACCATGATCCATTGCTAGCCTTCCACGTCCATCTCAAGGTGGTGTACAAATTATAATAAAAACAGCTAAGGAGAGTTATAAAAATAGCAGAAGACCAGCTCAACCACTGGTGATCTCCTCAGGCAAGACAGACAGTCAGACAGACAGACACACACAGATGCCCCCGTACACCACCAGAGCAGCTGCATGGCTTCTTAAGGGACACTTAAGCTACTCCAGCCTTTGGTGACGTAATGCGGACATCCAGGGCTTATACTAGTGCCCTGATAGCCAGCAATTAGGAAGGAAAGGAAGAGGCTTATAGGGTACACCAGACAGTCACGAATCAGGCAAGGCTCTGCAACAGAGGCCTGTGTGCATCTGAAGGTGGCACTTTTGGCCTGCTGGGCATTCTGGGTCCTGACCACCCCTAACCTCCCCTTTCTTTCTCAGGCCTTCCAGCCCCAGCTCCATTCATCAGCTAAACTTAGCTCCGCCACGCTCTTGGCAGTGGCAAGCAGGCCTTGGAGCTTCAATATTTCCTCATACCCGTGGCAATCTCTCCTTATAGAAACAAGTTTCTCCAGACACCAATTCAATAACAGCTCTAACAATCCATTGTATTCTTACCCTGCTCCTCAAGCCCAGCCAAAACGAGAGTATAATAGAGCAGAATCAATGGCTGGCGCATGTAAGGCAATCTAAGCTCTAAGAACTGAGCTAAAAATATCCAGTCAATCACACAGA